CCTACAGTTGCGAAATAGAAACCATCTGTGGTCAATTTCTGTATCATTTTTATGTGGTTCCATCAGACAGTGCCCCAATAAAGCTGCTTCATCGGTGAGTTTTTGAGTTCACAGTGGTCAGTGGTGCAAAAGCAATGTACAATTAGTAGAAACTAGACTTGAAATTTTGAACTTTCAACAAATTGTAGTAGGCCAAAACTCCAACCATTCAAATGAACCTGTGACTGTGGCTAAGCTATTATGTTCTGGAAGATAGGATTATTCAAAATATTACTAAATTATCAGAAATTGAGCATTTGTAGTATTCGACTGTAAAATACCTAATTTAGATTCTAAAGTTTAGAACCTTTTTCAAAAAATTTCCTCCTTTCCAAAACAGGGTTTCCCTGTGTAGCAATAACAGCCCTGGCTGTCCTGGAATACTCTTTGTAGACTAGGCTAGCCTTGAATTCAGAGACCCACCTGCTTCTGCCTCTAAAGTGCTGGGATTGAAGGCATGCACCAACCACTATGCCTGGCACTTTTTCCAGTTGTTAAAGTAATGCATATAACACCTATATAAAAAGTCCTGATATAATTAAAAGTGAAAAGAGATTCCTCTAAATATCATTTCTACCCTAGCCGTGTCTGTGTTCATCACTGAACTGCTAACAATTGGATATATTTCAAGTCTTATTTATTTTTGAGACAGGGTCTCACAAAGCCCTGATAGCCTCAGATTTACTATGTGACCAAAGATGACAGTGAATTTATGGTTCTTCATCCTTGTGCCACCATGTCCAGTGATGCTTGGGATTAAACAGGGGGCTTGTGCACATACCAGACTCTACCAACTGAGCTACATCCTCAGTCCATGGCCCTTTCTTTTGGTAGAGCTTGTTAATCGAGCTACAAATATTTATAACTTGCTTTTTTTTTTTACTTTATATTAGTTTTTAAATTTTAATACAGAGTATTGGGACAAAGCTCCCAGACAACCATGCAAATGAGCAACAGCCAATCTGTAACTATATATATTCTATATATTATTATAGAATAATATTATAATATATAATATAATTAATATATATAATTATATATATTCTATAAAGCATTACCTTTTTAGTAATTGTTTAATTCATAATACAGATTTTTTTCTAGTTTCTTTAACCATTTGTCTTAATTAGATTTCTATTGTTTGGATAAAACAACCATGAGGAAAGGGTTTTTTGACTCTTCCATCACTGTCCATCATTGAGGGATATCAGAGCAGGAATTCAAGGAAGGAACCTAGAGGCAGAAACTGAAGCAAAGACTACTGAGGATGCTGCTTGCTGGCTTGCTCCCCATAGCTTTCTCTGCCTATTTTCTTACACAGCAGAGAACTACCAGCCCAGGTGTGACATCATCTGTAATAAGCTGGACCCTCCCACATCAGTAATTAGTCAAAAATTGCCCTGCATACTAGTTTTATGGAAGCATTTTCTCAGTTGAGAGTCCCTCTTCTCAGATGACTCTAGTCTAGCTTGTATCAAGTTGACAAAAAAATTAAATACACCATTCCTCTTCTGATACTTGTTATATCAAGTTTTTTGGGGCATTATGGACAATAATAAGATTTTATAACATTCTTTTGTATATGTATAGGTATTTCTATAGAGTAGATTTCTGTGAGTAGAATAATTAACTACCTAGGTTGATTCATAAATGTGCAATCTTCCTCTTCCTCTTCCTAACAAAGTTTTGACAGTCTTAGGCAAAAAAAGGATAAATTATAATGAGTATTTTCCTGTTTACTAGTGAGATTATTCATGTTGGTTGACTACAAATTGTTTCTGTGGTTGCTTACACATCTTTGGGGATTCTTTTTTTTCAATGGAACTTTTGTTTATTAGTATACCTGGCTGTCCTGAGCCTTTGTTTGCTTGGACTGTAAGGATAGATATATTTGGGTAAATGTTTTTTGATCTCTTGAGTTTGAGGCCAGCCAGGGCTACACATAGAAAATCTATCTTGAAAAAGAAGGGGGATGGGGTGAGGGTGTTCTTTGCTTTTTGTTGTTGTTGTTGTTGTTGTTAGATTAGCATGTAAAATAATGAGTTTCATCTGGTATCTTCATATGTTCTTGCTTCTCGCTCGTTACCTTCCTCGCTGCCCTCTCCTCTGTCTCCTACCCACCCCTAGCTGGGTACATTCTTTCCCTCCTTTTTGCTTTCTTGAGAGGGTTTTGTTGTGTTACAATCCTGGTTTTATATTCACCAACGTCTGCCTCAACCTCCCAAATGCTGGTATTACTGGCAGTCACCACTAAACTTAGTTTAATAATTTATCCACTGTTAATAATTGGTTTTAAATACTACCTTTGTCAAACAGCAACTATTTGCATATATAAACATGTGTTTCAGGATATTCTTGTTATATCCTGTATTGTCGTGATTAATTTTTCAGTGTTAGGAACCCAGCACAGGACCTGGTACATGATCTGGGGTTCTACAATTCTGCTACCTCCTCAGCTATAGTGAATATTTGCAGCATAAACAAATGTTACACCTTTACACAGTTAAAGTCATATTCTGCAGCATAAACAATGTAACACATCTTTACATAGTTAAAATAATATTCCACAATACTACATGCCCCACAGACATAAAATAGTTAAAAAATAAAGACAAATTATCAGTCATCTAACCCAAGAGAAGTCCAGTAGGTTTATAACACTTGGAATTACTGCCTATGTATTTGTTTAATGCATTAGTAACTCATTTACCTCTTTCTAAGTGCAAGCTTCGCTAGCCTACCCTTTTAAACCCTTTCACAGTCATTCCCTGTAGTTTCATACCATGATTCTGATATACATCTCCTTTCCCCTTCCACGGTTTTAGACTTTTCCTTTCATTTTCTCTTCCCTGCCCAGTCCAAACTTGGTACCTGAGAAAATCTTATTTGTGCCTATAGACCCATTTTATATACTAACTACCTTCTCTAGGAAGTTTGTCTTCATGGCGCCTGTAGGAGGGTTGTTCTTACCCTCAGTGTTCCTATGTGCTTCATAGTACTTATTCCTAGTTTCGAACTTCAGGCTGAATTGGGGTAGTAAACAAGCCATAAATGTTAACAAGGAATAAAGTATGCCTACTTGCAGAGAACTCACTAGAGTATGAAAAAGTTTAGAAGAAAAATAGATAGGAACTAAATATGCATGTCTATATGTGGTACTTTATGTTTGGGTTTTCTTGTTGTTGTTTTGGTTTGTTTTTTTTTGGGGGGGGGGACACAACAGTTTCTTACTGTATAGCTTCCGCTAGCATGGAACTCACTTTAATGACCATACTGGCTTTGAACTCATAGAGACCCATCTGCCTCTGCCTCCCAAGTGCTGGGGATAAAGGCATGTGCCACCATGACCTGTCAGAGGTCATAAGAGTTACAACAGGTGACAACTAGTGTTTAGATATCAACCCACCAGAGGAATGGTTATCTGATGGAGGTTAATCCTGTGCAGATGAGTCTGCAGGACCATTGACTGAAAGTGTTGCTAAGGCACTTGGTGTCACCCCAATGTCTGCACTGTAAAGTATAATCTCATGTGATGTGTATATTTAATCTCATGATTGCATCTCAGTCTATTGGGTACATATGTCTGGGGAAAAAGGCTTCATTTAGCTATATAGCCTTGATATATAGAATATATACTGGGACATGCTTTATAATTGGATCTATTTGTCCTACAAGGACTATGAAAACTTTAAAAAACTGCCTTGTTCTTTTGCTTATTGGGTGACTTTCCCCCAATATGTGGGACCCCAATAAGAAAATTTGGTCACACAGTCAAAAACCTTGGTTCCCACAGTCAAATCTCTGCTTCATTCCCTGTTATAAAATTTATACGCCAGCCGGGCAGTGGTGGTGCACACCTTTAATCCCAGCACTCGGGAGGCAGAGGCAGGCGGATCTCTGTGAGTTTGAGGCCAGCCTGGACTACAGGAGCTAGTTCCAGGACAGGATCCAAAGCTACAGAGAAACCCTTTCTTTAAAAAAAAAAAAAAAAAAGCCAAGTCTTTCAAATAGATCGCATTTGGGACCTTCAAAGATATGAGTATAGCACATCCACGCTTGTTTGATTCTTAGTCTTTCCTGATAAGGAGATTAGGTGTCCCAAATTCTCCTACAGCTGACTTGGGAAAGTGCTAACCTCAGTTGACCCCCAGCTCTAACCCTACAAAAGTTATTAAACTCCCTACACTTACTCGACTTACCGATACAGGATTTTAGTATAGAAATGTAGTGCCGCACGTGAACTCCCCCTCTCCCTTCCTATAATTTAAAGTCTCCTAAATCACCTTTTTTGCCTCTTAGTGCTGCCCAGGCTTCTCTCTAGCCACGCCTCCCTGAAGCCATAAAGAAGCTAACTGTCACTTGGGACAGCTCTTATCTGTTTTATGACTTTGAGAAATTTTGGTTCTGTCACTTGGTGATTACCAGAGAATTGCCTTTGTTTGTGTGTGTGTATAAACTGGAAACTTTGCAGCGGGACAGAACAATAAACTGGCATGAAGAAGTACAGAATGGGAGAGTTTGTTCATTCACCTTCAGATAGCCAGAGGAAAAAGAGTCCTTTTCACTTCTTGTAGATTCTAATCTGAATCCTGAGAGGGCTTCGAGGTTGGCTCTCCAATAGCCCTTGTTAGTGACCCGCTATGTGTGTGCTATTTTAATCACTAATGGCACTTTTATGTCAATTTTTGTTACCAGCCTGATCCAAACTTAGATTTCACTCATTTAAATTTTATTTATTATGTGCTGAACCTTAAATAGTGTGCTGGACTTAAGTTGAATATTTGTCTAGACACAGGAATGCCTTCCAGATTAGATGTGTGAGAGCCGACTAGGCTACTCTAAGTAATGTTTCATCATTGTAAGGCAAAATAGCAAGAATTGGGTTTCTACTCCACCTGTTCTATACAGTTGGACTATAAATGAATGGATATTCAAAAGTTGTTTTTTTTTTTTCCTCTCCTTAGTACTGGATGAATGAATACACATCATCTATTGGAATTGGAGTTTTTCATTCTGGAATTGAAGTGTATGGCAGAGGTATGTGTGCACATAGTTTAAATATGCTTTCTGGGGTTTCTTCCAGTTTAAAACAATACAGAATCAGTTGGGTGTTATTGGCACACGCCTTTAATCCCAGCACTTGGCAGGCAGAAGCAGGCGGATCTCTGTGAGTTTGCTGTCAACTTGGTCTACAAAGTTCCAGGACAGCTAGGACTGTTTCACAAAGAAACCCTATCTTGAAGAAAAAAAGAAAATACTGTTAGATCTTTTTCTTTGTCCCCTTTCTTTGAAGTGACTTACATATGTTATTGCAAAAAGTAGAATAAAACGCATTTGTTTATACTGTGCTTTGAAAAAAATGCCTGTGGTAGAATATAAAAGAGTACATTCATTATATTTTTTTCTAATTATTGTGTCTTTTAAAACATTTTTTTAGCCAGGCTTGGTGGCAAACACCTTTTTGCCCGGTACTCAGGAGACAGAGGCAGGCAGATTTCTCTGAGTTCAAGGCCAGCCTGGTCTACAGAATTTCAAGACAGCCAGAGCTACAAGTGAGACCTGTCTCAAAACCAAAGCCTGCCCAGACAGTGGTGGCGGACACCTTTAATCTCAGCACTCAAAAGGCAGAGGCGGGTGGATCTTTGTGAGTTCGAAGCCAACCTGGTTTACAGCTACACAGAGAATTCCTGTTTTGAAGAAGGAAAAAAAAAAAAAAAAACCAAACGCCTTCTTTCTGAAGTTGTTAAGTCATGATTGTTTTTCTCTAACATGTGTAAGAGTTCCTAAGAAACTTTTGCACTTTGAAAACTGCATAACAAAAATAATCATTTTGGTTAGTGGTAGAAAGTGTCAAATTGTTTTTTGGGTTTTTTTTTGTTTTTGGTTTTTCGAGACAGGGTTTCTCTGTGTTTTTGGAGCCTGTCCTGGAACTAGCTCTGTAGATCAGGCTGGTCTTGAACTCACAGAGATCCACCTGCCTCTGCCTCCCAAGTGCTGGGATTAGAGGCATGCGTCACCATCGCCTGGTGAAAGTGTCAAATTTGAAATACCAATTCCTTAGGGAATTTCAGTAAACATTGGATTTTGAAGGTCTATGAGTATCGATAGTCTATGCTAAGCACTCTTGCCTTTAGTAACATCTACCATTTTGCTCAATTATCGTGATATATCACTATGAATTGTACGCTTGCCTTTTATCGAAGTTCCTATATTTGCATAAGATAGGCAGTCTTTGTAACTTCCTAGAGTACATTATCTAATTCACCCAGGATAAACTATGTACCTTCTTGTTCACTAATTTTAAGTAAGCTCCATTTACTTAAATATTTCAAGAAGATGTTTCTGCTGTCTTTGTATCTGGGTAGAGAAGTGCTGATAATTAAATCCGTAGCCTCAAACTTGCTAAGCAGGTGCTGCACCTCTGGACTATGTCCCTAATCCCTATCATTCATATATATATATGTATAGGTTGCTTCTAGCTGCATCTCTGGACTATGTCCCTAATCCCTATCATTCATATATATGTATAGGTTGCTTCTAGCTGCACCTCTGGACTATGTCCCTAATCCCTATCATTCATATATATGTATAGGTTGCTTCTAGCTGCACCTCTGGACTATGTCCCTAATCCCTATCATTCATATATATATATGTATAGGTTGCTTCTAGCTGCACCTCTGGACTATGTCCCTAATCCCTATCATTCATATATATATATGTATAGGTTGCTTCTAGCTGCATCTCTGGACTATGTCCCTAATCCCTATCATTCATATATATGTATAGGTTGCTTCTAGCTGCACCTCTGGACTATGTCCCTAATCCCTATCATTCATATATATATATATGTATAGGTTGCTTCTAGCTGCACCTCTGGACTATGTCCCTAATCCCTATCATTCATATATATATATGTATAGGTTGCTTCTAGCTGCATCTCTGGACTATGTCCCTAATCCCTATCATTCATATATATGTATAGGTTGCTTCTAGCTGCACCTCTGGACTATGTCCCTAATCCCTATCATTCATATATATATATGTATAGGTTGCTTCTAGCTGCACCTCTGGACTATGTCCCTAATCCCTATCATTCATATATATATATGTATAGGTTGCTTCTAGCTGCATCTCTGGACTATGTCCCTAATCCCTATCATTCATATATATGTATAGGTTGCTTCTAGCTGCACCTCTGGACTATGTCCCTAATCCCTATCATTCATATATATATATGTATAGGTTGCTTCTAGCTGCAGTTTAGCTTATTCAGTCTTGGCTATAAAGACTTGTCATTTAAGCTTTACTTGAAATGAGTGCGCTTGCTAACTCCAAGAAACAATGAGGGGCTTCAGCTGAAATCTTCAATGATTAGAGTATTGCAGGTGGATGAGATTATAGCCTGTGGGTTTCCTATCTGACCTTTGGCCTAAGTTGTATTACTTTTTTTTAGTTAAATTTGAATAGTGTGTTATGGTTTCCTTAGTGCTATGAACTTTGAGACCATATGATCATGCTATTTATAGAGAATGTGGCATTTTTTAATAAAAAGAAATTAAGGCTCTAACTTGTCACCACTCACACTGCTAATAACTATCAGAACTAGAATTTGAGCCCAGATATTCTTATATGCTATTCCAGTGCTCTATTAACCTGCACAATTTTTACTCCCCTTCATAAAATAATTTAAAAACAAAAACATGATTCAAAACATGTTCGTGGAAACTCAGAGAAATTGTAATTGTTTCTTGTACAAAAAAAATAAAAACTAAAAGGACCTTTGTCTTCCCTTACTCTACTTAAGATTAAAATCCATGTGGGGCTGGAGAGATGGCTCAGCATTTAAGAGCACTGACTGCTCTTCCAGAAGTCCTGAGTTCAATTCCCAGCAACCACATGGTGGCTCACAACCATCTACAGTAGGACATGATGCCCTTTTTGGCATGCAGGTAAACATGCAGAGCACTCCTACATAACATAAACAAATAAAAAATTAAATCCATTCGAGGCCAGCCTGGTCTACAAGAGCTAGTTCCAGGACAAGCACCAAAAACTTGAGAGAAACCCTGTCTCAAAAATCCAAAAAAAAAATTAAATCAAAATAGGAAGCCAGGTGGTGGTGGCAGTACATGCCTTTAATCCCAGAAGGCAGAGGCAGGTAGATTTCTGAGTTCAAAGCCAGCCTGGTCTACAGAGCAAGTTCCAGGACAGCCAGGGTTACACAGAGAAACCCTGCCCCCAAAAAACAAAAACAAAAAACAATGATTTTTACCAAATCCAATCTGATTATATACAATATTTTAATAAAAATTATATAGAACTATTTATTGAATCTTTTGGGGTGTTTGTTTGTTTGTTTGTTTGTTGCTTGTTTTTGGATTTTCAAGACAGGGTTTCTCTAGTTTTTGGTGCCTGTCCTGGGACTAGCTCTTGTAGACCATACTGTCATCGAACTCACAGAGATCCGCTTGCCTCTGCCTCCTGAGTGCTGGGATTAAAGACGTGCAGCACCACCGCCCGGCTATTTATTGAATCTTAAAGAGGAGCAGGGCATGGTGGTATATGGTTGTATCCTGGTACTTAGGAAGCTAAAGTAAGAGGATTGTGGGTTTGAGGCCAGAATGAGACCCTACCTCAAGACCAGATAGACAAACAAAATTTAGGACAGGCATAGAAGTGGACCACCCATAATCTCACCAATTAGGGAGCAGAGACTAGAGCATTATTAAAAGTTAACCTGGGCTGCATTGCATAGTTAATCAGGTCAGTTTAGGGGTAACCAAATCGTTTCTTTAAAAAAAAAAAAAAAAGTTTATGTTTCTACAGAATCTATCTGAAGAGATACCCTTGGAGCTCAGTGGTTAAGAGTACTTGTTGCTGTTCCAGAGGACTAGAGTTCAACTCTGTTGGCTGTAGATGGAGGGAGACTAGAGTTAATAACCGTGACTCTAGCTCCAGGGGATCCATTGTCTTCTTCTGACCTCTGTGAAATCCAGCACTACTTGGTAGCATATACACCCAGATACACACATGACCAAATAAAATATAAATGAGAAAAACTAAACCTCATCTACCTCGTTCTTTGCTGTGTTTTGTCTCAAAACTTAAGAGTGTGTATTTAACAAATATGTTCATTTAAATAAGTATTTTGAGTCAGGCTTGCTATATAGCATGGCTGATCTGGAACTCACAGTGTAGACCAAGCTGTCCTCAAGCTTATAATGATCCTCCTGCCTCCACCTCTCTAGCACTGAGATTATAGGCATGTACCACCATGCCTAGTTATTTAGTAAATCTTAAGTGATAGGACTAACTTACTTAAACATTTATTTGGAATTGCTTATATCTACTAAGACTTTAAGAAAGAAAGAGAGAGAGAGAGAGAGAGAGAGAGAGAGAGAGAGAGAGAGAGAAAGGAAAGGAAAGAAAAAGAAAAAAGACTTTACCACTTAATATGAGATGCCAGAATTGAAGCCAGAAGCTCTGGTTCTTTCCTGTTCTGAAGCTATCTGCATTTTTGTTGTAGATAAGAGCATATAGCTGGAAATACACGTCTTAGGAGAACGTACAAATAGTGCCCTCCTAACTACAAGACTTGCTGTGAAGAATGTGAAGATGGTTGTGTATATTTTAATGTTGGTATTTTACTGTGCTTCAGCTTTGATGTTTTTTCTCAGATAGGGTCTCTATATATTGATGGAGGAGTTACTTTCATTTAATAAAGAAACTGCCTTGGCCCATTTGATAGGCCAACCCTTAGGTGGGTGGAGTAAACAGAACAGAATGCTGGGAGAAAGAAGCCGAGTCAGTCAGTCACCATGATTCTCCCACTCCAGACAGACGCATGTTAAGATCTTCCCTGGTAAGCCACCTCGTGGGCTACACAGATTATTAGAAATGGGTTAGATCAATATGTAAGAGCTAGTCAATAAGAGGCTAGAACTAATGGGCCAATCAGTGTTTAAATGAATACAGTTTCCGTGTAATTATTTCAGGTAAAGCTAGCCGTGCAGGAGCCGGGCGGCCGGAACGTAGCCTGCCGCTCCATATCTTCAACAATATATAGTTCAGACCTGCCTGGAATTCACTAGGAATAGCCCAGTCTAGCCTAAAACTCATGATCCATCTGCGTCCTGCGTGCTAAGATTACAGACATATACCCCTATGCGTGGTGCAGTGGTGTTTTCACTCCTAATCCAGTGTAAATGAAGAGTCTTCAGGTATAAGTGGATGCATGCAGCATGATGACAAAGTACACCAAAACAGGACAGCTCTCCTCAGGAACTGTGAAGACTTCATTCTCACTAGACAGTTTCTCCAGTGACATGCAAGCTTGAAAAGTGGCCAAGTCCTGAGCTGTTGGCCTCATGGTGTGATGGTGCCACAGAGACCGAGCACTTTTAAAAACTGATCACTCTCCTGAAGTACATGTAGAGCAGTCTATAGAGCAGTCACAGGCATTTTGGAGTGTCTGTAACTGTTACCATTTCAGAGCTTTTAAAGACAGGTATTCTCACCGCCGGGCAGTGGTGGCAAACTCCTTTAATCCCAGCACGGGAGGCAGAGACGGATCTCTGTAAGTTCAAGGCCAACCTGGTCTACAAGAGCTAGTTCCAGGATAGTCTCTACAGCTACAGAGAAACCACGTCTCAAAAAACCAAAAATAAAAAATAAAAAGACAGATATTCTGTACTGGTAATACCCAAACAGGACCTTGCAAAGGGCACTTTAGAAAAATATTTAGATAACATTATCTTTGTAGTATTTTAAAGCTGATTCAGCATTCTGATTATATTTTATTATATACTAAAAATTTTTACTTTTATCTTTTCAGAATTTGCTTATGGTGGCCATCCTTACCCTTTTTCTGGAATATTTGAAATTTCCCCAGGAAATGCCTCTGAACTAGGAGAAACATTTAAATTTAAGTAAGTAGGGAGAGTAATTTCTGTCACACTGTTGTGGATGTCAGAGCTTGGTTTGTGGGCATAAAGAATTTTTAGATTTAAAAAAATCTAAAAAGTTAAAATTTTAAAATTGAATTAAATTGTTATATAAGAATGGGAAATCAAATAATGTGTGAAATAACCTGTTTATGCTTTTTGTTCAGGATCTCTGTAACTTTCACAGCTCCTAACTCAGCACTGATGCCCCTCAGTCTCTGTTTGTGCTTGATAAAATGATTTTCTAATAATTTGTAGCTGTCTTTTACAACTAGCTTATATCTAAAATTTTATCTTTTATTGAGTAATATCTGTTACATTTTCCAGGAAATATATTGCAGTGTTTTTATTTGATGTTTTGAATAATATATTTTAAAATTTAGTCAAGTTTCATGGCTTGTCTCAATGCAAACACAAGGGTGATTAATACCAGGAATTTTTTGTTTATTTTTTTTTTATTTATTTTTTTTATTTTTCGAGACAGGGTTTCTCCGTAGCTTTTGGTTCCTGTCCTGGAACTAGCTCTTGTAGACCAGGCTGGCCTTGAACTCACAGAGATCCGCCTGCCTCTGCCTCCCTAGTGCTGGGATTAAAGGCGTGCGCCACCACCGCCCGGCTACCAGGAATTTTTTCTTTAGTGAAAATATGGCCAGCTCTTTGCTATGAATATTTAGCAAGGTTATTTTTACCTTAAATCTGGTTCTCTAATAACAAACATGTTTCATAAAGCAAAATGGAAACTAAAATCATTGAAATTACTAAGTATCTCATTTCCCTTAGTCTGAATATATTAGCCCTGATTTATTTATTGTAATATACCTGTAAATAAGCAAGTATTTAATAATGCTTATTATAAATAACCTGATTGAAACTGCTTTGTTTATTTTGTTTTTTGTTCTTTAAGAGAAGCTGTTGTTTTAGGGAGTACGGACTTTCTAGAAGACGATATAGAAAAGATTGTAGAAGAACTGGGGAAAGAGTATAAAGGCAATGCCTACCATTTGATGCACAAAAACTGCAATCACTTTTCTTCAGCTTTATCAGAGGTAAATTCAATTTCATCCTAAAGTTCTGCAGATAGCACTTTCCTGGTGTACTTTCTGTGCCACTATATTCAATCTTGGTGTTTTTTTTTCCTGATTCTTCCTGTCCTGGAACTAGCTCTTGTAGACTAGGCTGATCTCAAACTCCCAGAGATCCACCTGCCTCTCTCTCCTGAGTGCTGGGATTAAAGATGTGCACCACCACTGCCCAGCGGAGTCAGCAAAGTTTTAAGTAGTGATTCTGCTCATTCTTTTGTAGTGGGTAGAATGACTACAGATAATTGCCTCTTACTCAGTTGGTTTGTATCCTTATGTTAGCATTTTATAACTGACAAATACATAGAAAAAGACATATTTTCCAATCAGAGTGGATTACCATTGGTTGGAGCCTGTGCACAGTGTGTCTTGGTGGGAACTACACAGAAGAGCCAAGCAGCTTACCATCTGTCACCAAGAGAGAAACAGGGGAAGGAGCTGGTGCCTGGTATTCTTTCAGGGGCATTCCTGCTACTCCAGCCACACTTCCTTTCACTAAACTACCCCTTCAGAGTTCTGTACTTTTCCATTGTGCCCTGAGCTAGCAACCACACTTAGTACATGAACCTTGGGAGAATGTTTTAGATTTAAACCATAAGACACTGAAATTCTTAACTTTAAAAAAAAATAAAGGTTAAGAAACTGTTAGCACTGGATAGTGATGGCACACACCTTTAATCCCAGCACTAGGGAGGCAGAGACAGGTGGATCTCTATGAGTTCAAGTACAGCCAAGGCTACACAGAGAAACTCTTATCTTGGAAGAAAAAAAAAAGAAGAAGAAAAAAAAAACTTCTTAGCTGCTGAGACTTTTTGTTTGGTAAATTTTAGTTGCCTACCTGAATTTTCCTGACTCTTGTTAATAGATAACTTGTTTTGTTTATTTGTTTTTTAAACAGGCACCATATCTGGCTTGTACTATAGTTTTTGTATGTATGATATACTAGTTACTTTTCTATTGATTGATAAAATACCATGTTCAAGGCAACTTAGAAGGAAGGGTTTACTCAGCTTACGGTTCCAGAGGGTAAGAGTCCATTGTGGTGGGAAAGCATGGCAGTAAGTAGCAGGCATGATGGCGGGAACTGGATGCTGTGAGCTCACATCTTGAACCACAAACTGCAAGTGGTGACTAGCACACTAGGAGGAGGTAAGGTCTTAAGCTCTAAACCCCAGTGGCATATTTCCTCCATCAAGGCCACACCTTCTGAGCCTTGAACCTTGCCAAACAGTGCCACCAACAGGACTAAGTATTCAAATTCCTGAGACCATAAGGAACATATCTCATTCAAACAACTACACATAAATACCTGCAATAAAATTTAGCAGCGAAAACATCACACTGTGCTATAACAAAAGTTATGCAGACATAGTTTTTGTTTATTTGGTTGGTTGGTAGAGTATTTTTTGTTTGTTTTGTTTTGTTGTTTTTTTGAGAAAGGGTGTCTCTACTTAAATTGGTTAGCCTGGAACTCACTATGTAGACCAGGCTGGCTTTGTGCTCACAGAGATCTGCCTGGCTCTCTGCCTCTGCCTCACAAATGCAGGCATTAAAGACTTGATGTAGTCTTTCTTAAAAGCATTTTTTAGACTAAAGATGACCTATTATAACTTAAAGTGCAGCAGTAAAATTACTGATAAGAGGGCCCATTTCTGTCCTAGAGTCCATTCTGGGTTTGTTTGTTTGTTTGTTTGTTTGTTTTTGGGTTTTGTTTTTTTTTTTTTTATTTTTCGAGACAGGGTTTTCTTTTGGTTCCTGTCCTGGAACTAGCTCTTGTAGACCAGGCTGGCCTTGAACTCACAGAGATCTGCCTCTGCCTCACGAGTGCTGGGATTAAAGGCGTGCGCCACTACCACCCAGCCTAGAGTCCATTCTGTAGTGATAGTTGAACAGTCTTCATATGACAATATAATATTGTCAACTAGTTTCTTATTTCTGGTGCTTGAGTTAGCCTAGTCTTGTTGATATCAGAGTGTTGTGATGAACTCTCCATGTGTACCTCTTCTATTTTTATTAGTAGATCACTGAGCATCCTAGAAGGGTTGCTGGATCTGTGAGTTTGAGGCCATCCTGTTCTACAAATCAAGTTCCAGGACAGCCAGGGTAGTTGCACAGAGAAACCGTGTCTCAGTGGGGAAAGAGAAGTATAACTGTAACTCTTAACTGAGCCTTTCTCACATCAAACCAAGTTACCTACTTTCGGGATCCAGTGGCTCAGAGAAAACATTCTATTTTAAAAGGTAGAAATGGAGCACAACAAGGAAGGAATAGACCAAAACAAGACCAAAAACCAGACCAAGGAAAACACCAAACCCCATAGCTCCATATTGGCATATAGGGCTCCTGTTGGACCCATTTGTGACCTAAAGGGCTTGGGGTAATGCCACTGCCCAAGCTCTTGTTGCCTCAGCACGTGCCAGTTCCACTTCATGCGTGCAGCTTTCCTTGGCAGACAGCCATGATTCTGACCTCTCCAACTAACTGAGGTCTCCATTTCAAACTGGGGTTCGTTCACTCTCACAGCTTCACACAGTTGGCCTCAGGAACTGCCAGTTTTTTGCCTATTCAGCAGTTTTCTGACATCATTGTGTAAGATGCCATGATTCACACAGTTTTATATCTTTTATGCCTCAGAAAGCTGTTCTATGTAGATGATACTACCAAGTTTTACTGCCAGCTCAGGATGTAGCCTGCCTTTGGACCACAGTGCAGCAGCTTGAGTGTGTCCTGCACAGACACTTCCCTGGGCATTAACGCCTTCAGTTACATTCTTGGTTTAGACTTCCTTCTGTGGGACGTCTTTGCATTTTCACAAGTCAGAGCCTTAGATGGGTAGGGTCTTGTCCTCAGGGCACCTTTTCCATTGTTCCAGTGTCGAATAGGTTTATCTTCAATACTTATAGCCTCTCTACAACAAGGGCCTCTATGCAACTTTAAACGTGCCCAGGCTCTCTCCTGGACATACTGTACATTTCTAATGTCTTTGCTTCACATTTGGTCTCTCTTACCTAGATCTAGATGACAGCAAAAATCGGTGGCCACACCATAGCCATCAGACTACCTAGTCCATTACTCCTGTATTTGACTTCACTCAGGTTCTCATGACATTCATAAAATGCAACCAAATCCTTTGCCAGAATAACATGTGGATGACTTCTAGCTCAGTTATTGATAGAGTCAGTGGTTCCCTCTGAAACCTCCTAAGCTGGGACTCCACTGTCTCCTTTTCTCTCAACATTCTTATCTTCCCAGCTCTCACAGGAATGCCCCATGAAGATTTGCTTACAGTGTTTGAGAGTTTTTCTAGCCCAGAGTTCCAAAGTCTTTAATATTCCTTCCATAAACCAGTTCCAGTGGCCCAAAGAACCACAGGTTCAGGTCTGTCAGAGCAGCAGCCCCCTCCTGGTCCTGCTTTTTTATCCATTAATTGTCTGGTTGTTGTGACAGGATTCCTGAGAAAGGCAATTTTAAGGACCAACAAGATGGCTCAGCAGGTAAAGGGGCTTGCTGCAAAGTCTGGCTGCTTGAGTTTGATCCCCAGGATTCACACGGTAAAAGGAGGGAACTGACTCCAAAAAGTTACCACTAACCACACTCATCATGGCATATGTGTACATATATACAACAAACACAATTTTTTCATTTACAGAATAAAAGAAGGGGAATTGGAAAGATGACAGTTAAGAGCACTGGCTGCTCTTCCAGAGGTCCTGAGTTCAATTCCCAGCAACCACATGGTGGCTCACAACCATCTGTAATGAGATCTGGCGCCCGCCTCTGGCCTGCGGGCATACATGGAGGCAGAATGTTGTATACATACTAAATAAATCTTAAAAAAATAAATAAATAAAATTGTGGTTACAATGCTAAATAACCTACTAATGGGCTTTGATTCAGAGTTTTCAAAACTTAGACCCAAGGTTGTTGAAGAGATGACTTAGCAGCTTCTGGCTGCTCTTCTAGGTAACCCTGGTCCAATTCCCAGCACCCACATGGTAATTTACACTCCAGTTTTAGGGAGCTGAAGCCCTCTTCTACACACATAGCATACAAATGTGCATGCAGGTAAAACACTTGTACATAAAATGCTTTCTTTAAAATGGAAATTTAGAAAAAAGTCAAACATCAACCCAAGAATTGCTAAACATTTTATGAAAGAGTCAGCTAATGGATGTTTTAGGCTTGCGAACTATTTATGACCTTATTTAGTTCTGTGTCTTCTCGTAACCAAGAGCCATAGGCGTATATCTATGAACACAGATATACTGTTTTATATATATAAATATATATAGCAGACTCTTTTAGGTTGATCAGTCCTCAACCCCAAGAGCTGGGTGAAGTCAGCTTCCCTGAAACACAAAGGTATGTCGAAGAGAACAGATTGCTGAATGGAATCAAAATTTGAGAAGGAGAATATGAAATGGGTAGCAAGAGGCTGCCATGTTAACCTAATTTTTCTTAACTAGTTCATATGTGGTTAATCTCTATGCAGATACTCCTAGGTCTATCTCAAATATAAGACACAATGTTGCTAGTGCATTCAGGAGTAGACAGATGGGAACTGTGTCAAGAAGTTCATTGCTCAGCCTTCTCCCACATTTTATCCAAGTAAATATTATTTAAACATATTTAAGTACCCATCTGCCTCACTCTGTGCCCTTAGGCACTGTGATAGATGCTGGGTAATCAAAAATGGTCAGAACACACTACCTGTTCGTAAATGAAGTCACCTCATTTTCCTTTTAGCCAAGCTAGAGAACGGATTAAGGAATGTTGCTGTATCCTTAGGGGAAAGTGTTGCACAGTTGCCAACTTTCTAAATGCTCACTACCTCTTTGCTGTAAGAAACTTTGAAGCCTTATTCCAAAGTCATTAACCTAATGTTTGCAGATATTTTAAGATACTAGTTTCAGATCACATGATCATAATCTCTAGCATGACTAGAGGCAAACCATCAAAGTGGCAGTGGAACATGGATTCAGTTGAGCCCAGTTTTTACAAGAGCCAAGATGATACAGGGTAAAGTCAACATTGTTTTGAGCTGCTTCTCACTATCTAAAATAGGAAGAGGAAGACTCCCAGTCCTAAGGACTCTAAAAGAATGAGAAGTGGGCAGAGAAATGTAGCAGGATTCCAGCCGACACCCACTCCTACCCCAGTTAGTCCCCCTAACCAGGCCTCCATGCTTTATTCTGACCATAGTCCCTGTGCCAGGGTATCGTGGAGCTAGTCTTCATTTGGGCACACTTCTTTCTGGACCATCTGAACATCCTTGAACAAGTGAGAAATACATAGAATGCAGCCCAGGAATAAGTGGGGTGGTAGAGACTGGAAGAGAGTAGAAAAGATCCTGGGAAAAGATTTGACAAGAATACCCAAGACTGACTCTGCTAACAGCCTGGGGCTTCTCTTACTCTAATAACATCTTGTGCTATCAAGTCTTTTTCTTCTGTGTACTGTTCAAAGTAATTTTACATGTTTCAGAGTAGCTCAAGGATCCAAGACAGAAGCCAAGCAGAATTAGCTTGACTTGACAACTGTAAAAAGAAAGGAGGAGAGAGGGGGAGAGAGAGAGAGAGAGAGAGAGAGAGAGAGAGAGAGAGAGAGACAGCTGAAAGAAAGGAAGGGGTTACAGAAAGGTCCTGGCTCTTGAGTTAAGGCACTGCTTGTCAGCAGCCTGGAATAGTAGCACCACAAGCTAGTCTGCAATATATTTTCTCACCCTTTAGCAGGACAGCCAGCATTATTCTCTTCTCCCTAACACAGAGCTGTCTCCTCCTTAGATTCTTTGTGGGAAAGAGATTCCTCGCTGGATCAACCGACTGGCCTACTTCAGCTCCTGTATACCCTTTCTACAGAGTTGCCTCCCAAAGGAGTGGCTCACTCCTGCTGCACTGCAGTCTAGTGTCAGCCAAGAGCTCCAGGATGAACTGGAAGAAGCAGAGGATGCAGCCGCATCCGCTGCCATGGCAAGTGCTGCAGCTGGTGCCAGAACTGGGCGTCACACTAAACTATGAGCATCTCCAAAGTCACACCTTCAGAACTGTCTCTGGCAGTTGAATATCACTAGAGAAAAGAAAATAGAGTAAATGTCCTTTGGATATTTTGTATGCAAAGATGGCTCTCCCCCAAATCCCAGTTTTTCAGCTCAGGATTATATTTGTAGTCAAAAACAAAAACAAAAAAAAAAAAGAAGAAGAAAAATCACTTGGCTCTGGAGGGAAAACTTTATATGAAGCTGCCCTCTTTTTTTTTTTTTAATCCACTTGTAAATTTGGATTCACTTCCTCTGTTTTATATGAGCTCTGTTAAATTACGTTTACAGTATTTTGTATCACTGTTTACAAATCTTGCATGGACTTCTGCCACCATGAAAGAAGAAAACCTTCATCTTCAGAAATTAGGCAGGTCATCTTTGTACACATCCCGAAAATCGCCAGAACTACAGCATAAAAAGTAGGCACTTGAAGAGGTCCTTACATGGTTACAGTTCCCATCACCTGCTTAAGAGCTGTATGTTAGATTTGTATTTGTTATGTTACCATTTTTGGTGCCCAGATACAGGGATCCAAACTGGCCTGACATGAAGGAGCACACACAGCCCGAGGGCTTGGAGCCTGGGTCAGTTCCACTCCACCCCTTCCTAGTCTGAGTAGCACATTTCCCAGGGTGCCCGTGGAGCAGCTGGTTTCATCCCAAATAAGCCCACCTCAGCAGGGTGGTATTCTTGTATCTGCCTGGCTTGATGCCTTGATTCTATAATGAAGATGTTTTCATGGAAGATACTCTTACAACTGACGAGTGTTTTTGCACATGTGTTGGGGAGGGGCTTCATTTTTATTTTAATACATACTAAACTCCTCCCTGCCCAGGATGTTTTGGGTGGGGCGGGAGTATCCTAACCTAGCTTCCTGAGCAGCAGTATGAACTGACATTAAACTGCTTTTTAACTATCCAGGCTACCTTTTATACTAGACGTTGAAAACTAGAGTCTAAAGAAACACCCCCCCCAAAGGTAATTCTTTAATATTTAATACTTTGTGTACACCATACCAGAAATGGCTTGTTGGAGTTTATTAGTTCATGATGAGAGTAGTTTCGCCTCATAATAGAAATTCTATTTTCATTGATCTCTTGTTGAAAAATCATATTTTTGTGTGTCTTAAATTCATCTTTTTATGTTCTCTCAAATGTGTCTCTTACATAACATAATTGTAGGAATGACGTTGTCGCTACAGCTAAATCTTCTTTAGTAAGGAAGTTGTTTGCTAGAGTCTACCCCCAGTTGACCCTTGGATGTAAAAACCAATCATTACATGTCACAATCAATGTTCTGCCTTAAGAGAGTGTGTCCTGTGTAAAGTAATGGATGCAGCATAGAAGCATCCAAGGTACTGACTGCGGCTTTAGATACTGCATTAGTGTGAAAGTCACATTTCTCTATGTGAGGATACATATCTTTGAGTAAATTACATCTTTAACTTTGCCATGAGCTGATTTTGATTGATACTTAATGTAAGCACACCCTCTTTAGGGAAAGTAAACCTTGGGTTATAAACACTGGCCTGAGGAAAATGAAGCCACTTTGTGCTGTTTGACTGTTCTGTGTCCAGAGAGGAAAGCCGGTGCAAGTCGCTCTGCTCCGTGGCGGGCAGAGCCTGTGTTTCAGGAACCGTGCAGCAGGACAGAATATGTGGTCTTTATGAAGAGTTGACTTAGTTCAGGTCTGAAAATGAGACTTAGGACAAAACACTAATGCTCTCCAGGAGGTTGTTCACTAACAGAAGAGACCTAACCCTCAGGCCCAGGTTAGTAGGTAATGCTTGATGGGGTTCACTTGGAGTTTTTTTATTAATAATATGGATCATGATGTTTTCTCACCCATTGAGATATGTTCTGAATCTGCTGTTGACCCAAGGGAATGGCCCCTCAGACATTTCTGGGTAATTAACCAGGAACAGCTCTTCTGTGTTCACCCATATTTCAGCAGCTCAACACACAAGTGACTTGCTGATGTCTGTAGCATTTGAAGAGATATAAAGGTCTTCTGGGAAATAAAGAATGCCTGCACCAGTTACCTGACAGTGAGCAGGTCAGAGTCTGGACATGAGGTTTCCTGCAGTCTAGTGTACTTGATTGAGGTTGAAAGAGAAAGAATCTCATTTAGTGAGGACCTTCTCTACAGTACAAATTAAGAATGGGTTTTATTAATTTTTCTTCTCTTGCCCTTGGATGAAAGCAATCTTGTTCTCAACCAGAACTCATAAGAAAAAAATCCCAGGTCAGAACTGCAGTCATGAATTCATATGTGATCCATGGAGTCCAGTATAGCTTCTGTAGTTGTAACCAAGTGAAACCGTTTCTCCTGGAGGGTTGAACAGTAATAGCTGTAAAGGATCAGACAGCTGGTTTCTGGTACTTGTTTTAAATATGCTTGGGTTTTTTAACCCACACTGGGGGCATCAGCTTTAGAAGTGTAACATGGGACGGTAGCAGGTGGTGATTGTCCTAGAGCACCTCCAGGCCTGAGCTCCAGCCAACTATTGCTCTGACTCACAGCAATAGCATCTTACCCATCACCAGCATCTTACAGAGCAGGGAATTCCAGGTGTAGTCCATTGATAGCATTGTGTGTAGAGATCACACCACGGACAGCTGCAGAACTCTTTCCATGGCTTCTTCTGTCACAAGACGGGTAGAAACACATTCACTGCTTCGGGGCTCTAACCCATGTGTCGTCTTACGACTCCATTATCTGTTTCCTGTAGCTTTGGTATATGCTATGTTTGCTTTGAATGACTAATTTTAAAAGTTAGTTTTTGTCAGCATTTGGCCGTCCTGCTATTACACCTCATTCTTGTCAGTATGGGTTCGAGAGTGTAGCTCGATTGTTAGACTTTATCTGCTCATTCTATACCCACACATCTCCACTGTCAACAGTTGGACAGCTGTCAATGAATCTTCCTGGACCTGAAGAGAATTTCCTGTGAAGTGGAATGCAAGTGTACTGTCATCCAGTGTTTATAAAACACCAGGAACCTTCACTTTTGCTACCTTGATACAACACTGAGTTATCATGTTACAACATTGAAATACATCGATTTATTAAAAACTACTTTTATAAGAAATGTTTTATAGTTCTTTCTGACCTCTAAGAGACAAGGCTGTTCTGTATTTGTGCTGGGAAGGGTTATTTGTCCAATCCAGGAATCCCATCTGCTGTGCAGGAACGCGGCCAGCCCTTCTGTATCATGTCGTTCTTGTGGTCACCGCTTCCCTTACTCAATGATAATTGCTCTTGTGCACAAGCAGCAGGTAGCAGCTCAGATGGCTCAAAAATGGAGGCAGAGTGGACCGACTGGAAGACTTCCCAACCCCCTTTCAGGAATTAAGTAGGAGCCTGTGTGTTTCTGCTCCTTATTCTCCATTAGCCTCTTCTGCTTGGTACCTCCAGCCTGAACCTTCGCCTTCACCTCCATCGGCCTTTTTGTACCTAGTGCAGTGTTTTCTCCCCTAATTTAAACTCTTCCCCTCGAATTAAGTTTTGTCAAGTAAATTAATAGTTTTTATGATCTACCAAGATTTGTCCACTCTGCCAAATAAGAGTGATCTACTATAACTCGGCTGTTCTCACCTCAGGGACACTCCGTGGAACTCTTACCATAATTCCGTAATAGATTCAGATCTGCTAAGAACAACTTAGAGGCCCTCCATCTAGGAAGAATGCCAGTAGTACTAGGGAACGGCAATCTCTTTTTTTAATTGTCCCTGAGTTTACCCGTGTATTGGCCTTGTTCCAGCTTTTTGGAAGTCTGTGCTAAGGAAGGTTAATGACTTGCTGTAGTTTCTAAACAGTAAATGAGAAGCAAACAGCTACTGACGTTACTGGTAGGAAACAGAACTGCTGTCTTCCATGTCAGTGTCTGCACTTTAAACTACTAACAGCCCTGCTGCTCAGGCCATAGCCTAGGGGACTTCTGTGGCTCTGCTGCTGCTGCTGCCAAAGGCAGCTTTAACTCAGTCTCTCTCAATCTAATAAAACTTGAGATTCAAAGGCTAGGGTGAAAACCTGCCAGCTCAGAGTAGCAACTGGCTAACGTTCTCTCTGTGCTGGCATCCAGGAGCCTCTCTCCACACCGCTCCAACTAAAAACCCATGCCCCCCTCCTTGCTACTTCCTGTCAACTAGATGCCAGTCTCGCCTCTCTGAGCCCAGGGTTTTTTGGTTTTTTGAGACAGGGCTTCTCTGTGTAGCTTTGGAGCCTGTCCTGATATTCGTTCTATAAAACAGGCTGGCCTCAAACTCACAGAGATCCACCTGCCTCTGTCTCCTGAGTGCTGGGATTGAAGGTGTGCACCACCACTGCCCGGCCAGGTCTTTTAATGCAAATATAACACATCTTTGCCTAGTTAAACAAATGCAGCATAAACAAATGTAACACGTCTTTGCCTAGTTAAACAAATATTCCACAACAGAACTGCTAAGCATTCTCAAAGCTAAGTCCTGTCAACACACCTTGACTTGAACTGCAAATGTGAACTATTTCCTTCCTGTCCAAACCAAGGGACACTAAAGAAATGTTAGAGCCACCTCTCCACTGACTGAAAGACCAGATGAGCCTCCGTGTGCTTTGCGACCCTGCTGTGACTGAAAAAAGAATTCAGTCTCAGTTGAGAGTGACCCCCTCCCATGCTGTTGAGGGCTGCCATTTCAAAGCCTTTCCCTGGCCCCTCACGCTGGGTAGCACTTACTTGAAATGGGCCTCCTGGTGGAGGAAGGCCTTGGCCATCACCTTGTCTTCTGTCGTATCCGAAACTCACAGGCAAGCAGTGGATCTCATGTCAGGACAGTCATCTGCTTCTGTGAAGTCCTCACAGTGTCTCGGGCTACCCTTCAAACCTCTGAATTGGAGGACTTGGGTATAGTTACCCAGGCTGCTTAAGCCAGACTCCTCAAAGCAGCTTGAATGTGGCTTGCTTGACTGTTCAAATACACGTGTGATGTGTTTACGAAATTAAGACAGTTTGGAGCTGGAGTGGTGGCTCAGCAGTTAGGAGCATTGACTACTATTCCATAGGACCTAGGTTCCTGTAACTGTGGTCCCAGGGGATCTGAAGTCCTCTTCCGCCGTTTTAGTCTCACATGATACACAGATATATGTGTAGGCAAAACATTCGTCTAAAAGAATATTTTAAGGTAGTTTGGCCCACCTTGGGTGGGGATCTCAGTGCAGGTGGCCTGTCCTTATCCCCTCAAATATGATGTGGAACTTTCCAGTGGCAAAGCTAGAATATGGCCTGAGGGAGCAGAGGCAAGTGCAGATAACGTATACCTTCCTCTTCCGTGCGCCATCGGTGAGCAGACGCCACAGGAGTACCCTAGCATTGCCCTCCACAAATATCAAAAAATTTCTACCTTAGACTGAAGACAAAATAAAAAGCAAAATCTGTTTGTCCTACCTCTCACATGTTTGGGGCTGTACTAGATCACTTAAATACACTTCATCACAACATCCTGTGTGCCTCAAAGACAGTGGAGAGGTCAGTCGCCTAAAATCACACAGAATTCCTGGATAAAGTGACTGGCAGCATGGACAGGTGAACCACTGGAAGCCTTAGTCACTGGTTCCCCTACAAAATTCAGTAGAGGTGGAGGCAGGATTTCCCAAGATTTTGGTGGGTTTGAGTCAACCTATACAAATTATTCAAAAGGTAACCACAAAATAAAACATGAACCTGAGCACTTTAGAGAGAATTGTCTAGGAACCTGTAGTCCATGGGCTAAGGCTGGGCTGTTTTATCCGAGGACCACCTTGCCATGAGAGGACCACCTCCATCAGTTAGCCATCCGTGTTTATGTCAGTCATCACTAAAGACCCAAACTGCTCAGACCTTCATCCCCAGGGGCCCTGCACAGAGCCTCATCTGCCAACTGCTCATGTTTACTGTCCCCTCTGACACTTGAAGTGTGGCAGGCAAAACTGCTCCAGGTGACTCTTGGGATATTCCAAGAAGCATCTCTCAGCCACACATTGTCCCTTGAGAAGCCCTCTAAACCTTTGTGTTCTCCATTTCTGCTTCTGTCATTTCTCTACTACAGAGCCTGCGCTGTCCAGTTCTGCCAGATGCTACGTGCTGCCTCACACTCTTCTGCTCTTAATGTCTTCCTCTGCAGCCTTCCTCATTCCCAGTGACTACACCACACAGGTGACCCGTGCCATTTGCCTCTGTCATCTTGGCACCCTTCCCCCCAGTTGCCAGCCCCCCCCCCTCAGTCATCGTGCTTATCATTATTCTACCCCAAGTCTCACCACCCTTCCCCAGCTAATAACCACTGTCACTGTCCCAGTCTCCCTGTCTCTTCAACCCTGAACTGAAACCTTAGCCCTATCACTGGGAATGTTCTAAACCATTTCTGGAATTTTCTGTTTCAAGACAGGTTTTCTCTGTGTAGTCCTGGCTGTCCTGGAACTCACTTTGTAGACTCAAACTTAAAGATGGACCCTGCCTCCTGAGTGCTGGGATTAAAGGCATGAGCCATGGCTGGTCACTTCTGGAATCTTTGTTCCAAGCATTTCTGACCATTAACTTTAGATTTACCCTGGTCCACTGTGCTACAAGAAGTCATTGGCCTTTGCAAGATCCCAAAGCCATTATACGTAGCACTTACTAACATCCCCTCCCTAAACCCACCTATTTCTCCTCTCACCCAAACTAAATCCCATGGCCAGCAACTAAGTCCTTTGCTCCTTAGGTCCCTCTGCTACTTCAGTGCTCCTTTATTATCTGGCTGGCTAGCCAGATCGGGATCTAGATTCCCAGTGTCTAACTGCTACTCCGTGGGTTGGCTTGGCCTTACGTTTCTGTCCACAAAGCAGCGGGCACTCATCACTGCACCATGACCTACTTTCAGTTCCTTGGAAGTTAGCTTCCCCTTGTTGTAGGCCCTCATGCCTCCTCCCTCCTTGTGGCCCCGACATGTTCCACATTTATCTCTGTTGAGACCCTCACTTGATGCCTCAGTAAAAAGATGTCAGGCCAATTGGCCTCTCATCTCCCAATCTACAGACTCACTAAATTTGTCTCCAGAGACACTGTGCTAATATGGGAGGTGCTTCCTACTTTCATCAAATGCCCCCCGCCACCTCTCCAAACTTTGTCTCCAACAGTTACTTCCCACACCCCTCTTTCCTATCAGTAGGTGACACAGGGGATCTCTACAATGTCCCTTGAGTCCTGCTATGACTAAGTGAAACCTTGCCTGTCTCCACAACCAAAATTTGCCAGCTCCATGTCCCAGGCACTGTTTTGAAAATCACCTTGATTTTGAATGATGTATACAATAGAATTTAGGGCTGGGCATGTAGCTCCCAGTGTAGCAAGTGGTAGAGCACTTACCTAGTATTTGCAAAGCCTGGAGTTCGTCCCAGCACTGTGTGAAAAATGAAGGGTGGGGTGTATATAATTGTATGTACAGTTTAAAGGATAATAAAATGAATAACACTCTGTACCTACCACTCGACTTAAATAACAGACCTGGAAAACATGTCTAGGTCCCTCTCCCATCACTACCTCTTCCTTCCACCAGAAGGGGAACCACCATCTTGAAGTTTGTGTACATTGTCCCTTCAGTTTTTTCTTTATGGTTATCACCTGCATACGCCTATTTTTGAGCTTTGTATAAATGAAATCATATATATCCCATGGTTTTAAAATTCTCTATTTTTATAACTCATGCATATTAATATGTATAGTTCTAACTTGTTTCCACCACTGTATTGTAGCCTACTGTACTGTACACGCGCACCATGATTCTGTTTACACGTTCTCCCTTGGATGGATGTTTGAACTGTTCCAGATTTCTCACTCTGATGAGCAATACTTTGTGAACGCTGTAAGGCATGTCTGCGGTTGTGAGGATCTCTCTAGGAACTGCTAGGAATGTATGTGTTAAAACTTACTGATGTAGAAAAACAATATACTCTTATTACACGTTTATTAAATAAAATCCTGTTCAGTCCTCTCTCCATCTGCTAATCAAACAGAACTCCATGATTCAATTTTTCTCTTCTAATATCACATAATGAAATTTCTCAGAGCTTTGCCTTAAAATATTTTTCATAACTAAG